TCCAGACTCTATCTCTTCCTGTTCAAGCCCATAGCCACTTTTCGTTTCTTTCTTGTTTGTGATTGTCAAATGCACCATTGTTGTTTAATTTCATATCTCCCAACATGAGAGAAGGTAGCAATACCTTTATTACTCAAAATGTCATGGCTCCTCAACACCTATTTATCTTGAAACAACATAGCTCTTGTCTCACAGTTCAAAATGCCACTGCCTGACGGCATCCTCCATGCTGAGGTCGTGCACACTGGCTTCCAGTGACTCTCAAGTGTTGTAACTGCTTTGTTGACGAAGACTTCAAATGTACATCTTCCCCAGGAAAATGAGCCATCACTCAGATCCTGTTAAATTTACCATTTGGAATGATATAGTATAAACATAACACAACACAGCTTCCATCCATGTCTTTCTCTTCAACACATTAAGTTGGAATCACTGCATTCCTAACATGCGATCTTTCTGTGTTGACCATGTCTGTTGGGCTGAACAGTATCCCCTGAAAATTTGTTTTCTTTTTTTTTTTAAGATTTATTTATTTATGCATACAAGAACTGGGGTACAAGCCAAAGGTGCAGGGGGTGAGAGGATTCACTAGAGACAGAGTGGGGAGCAGAACAGGTGGATCTGCTGAAATACACTGCTGAGGGGAGCAGTGGGTGAGACAGGAGAGGTCTGCTGTGCCATGTGGGTCACCTCCCTGGCTGGGGATTACTTCACAGTGCTGATGCTTAACCCCCTGTGCCACCGGGGGGGCGGGCAAAAATTCATTGTAAATGGAACTTGTGAATAGTTAAGACAAGCTTATATTCCATTAGGGTGACTCCTAAGTAAAATGAGTGAGTGATGTCCTTATAAGGAAAGAGAAGTGTGGAAACATGGAGAGACACGGGAGAGAATGCCAGGCAAAGATGGAGGTAGAGATTGGGGTGATGCAGTCAAAGGCAAGGAACACCAATGATTTCTGGCAACCCAGAAGCTAAGCGAGAAGCATGGGAAAGATTCTTTCTCAGAGCCTCCAGAGGAAACTGGATATCTTGATTTCAGAATTGCAGCCTCCAAAAGTGTAAGAGAATAAATGTTATTTTTAAGACACAAGGTTGATGATAATTTGTTACAGCAGCCCTAGGAAACTAACATGTCCCGCTTTCTCTAGACTGCTGCTAGTGGGGACTATGGGCAAGGAGACTGTCCGTGAGAAGAGAGGCTACTTACGCAAGGAAGTTCCAACCCTGTGCAGCAGGGACCTCTCTGGAAAAGCATGGCACGGCCATGGCCATTGGAGGCAGGAGAGAATACTGAGACCAAAAGCCCTGAGATATTGGAGCTGCAGTCTCAAAAGTCATCAAAGGAAATAGCCACCACCTCTTCTGGAGGGCTTTGTGACCTGTGAGGCAGAGCCTGCTGAGGGCACAGGGTGATGGCCCTGGATGCCAGGTGGGGACACATGAGATCTTTATTCTTGACCAAACGTTAGTCAGTATTCTCTGAATTCTCTCCCAATCAGACCTTGATCTTGGTCTGGTAAGTCCAGTTTTAGCAAAGAATCCTGCTAAGCCTTGAATTTAATCAAGTTCCTCATCCCTACACCCACCCTTGGTCTGTCTTTAGCAAGACTCTCATTGTATCAATTTAACAGAAATCCGCCCTCTCTTCTATCAAATCAAATTCTTCAGTCATTTTCAAACCACTGACCTCCTTAGCTATAAACCTGCAACCATCTTTGCTGTACTCACTGTTGAACTCAGTTCTATGCTGAAGTCTCCCCTACCACAATAGCGTGAATAAAATATGTCTTGCCACTTTTAACATGCACCAAGTGCAAATGCTTCTCTTTTACATAATTCAAGTGTAGAAGTGATTTTATTCTTGATGAATTTTAGTGCACTCTTTGTGTTTATGTGTGTATTTTTATACAAGTGAGCTCATAATATAAGTAGTATTTATAAAATTCTTTGTCCATTTAACAGTATCAGCTACCTCTTTAGAAACCATGGAATATTTATTTGGCCAACACTTCATGGTTAATAATTCCTTTAGGATAAACATGGGGAATGCAATTGCTGGGTCAAAATAAATACACATTTGTAAGATTAGACAACTACTGTCAAATTACCTGTGAAGGGTTCACTTTATATACATGCATATGTGTGTATACATAGTTATGGGTTTGTGCATGTATACATACATTTATATGTTTTACAAAAATGCATTGATACCTATCTAGCTCTCTGTGTAAGGATGCCAAGTATCTTGTTTTTTGTTTTTTTTTTTTAAAGATTTAGTTATTTATTTATACAAGCACTGGGTACGGTCAGAAGCGCAGGAGGGTGAGAGAATTCACCAGAGCCAGAGCAGGGAGCAGAGCAGGCAGAAGGACTGAATACACTGCTGAGGGGAGCAGCGGGCGGCAGGAGAGGTCTGCACGCCACGTGGGACCCTCCTCCGGTGGCCGGGGAGCAGCTGGGGATCGAACTGGCGCTGCAGAGGCTGCAGGTAGCTTCTCAACCCAGCGCTTAACCGCTGCGCCACCGGGGAGGCCCGCCAAGTATCTTGTTTTAATCTCCATTTAAAGATTTTTACTAAGGCTGATATTTTTCCGTAAGTTTTTGGCTCTTTTTCTGTTAATTTATTATTTGTGCCCTCTGTCCATTTCCCAATGGACATAACTTTGTTATGTTCATAACTTTGTTGTTCATAACTTTTCTTCCTTATTTGTGAGACCTCTTCGCGTAGCAAGAATATTAATTGTTTGTCACATATGTTGTGAATATTGTTACCACTTTGCCACAAATTTTATTTGCATTGATGTCTTTAATATTCCAAATTATAAAATGATATATTATCTTTGTCATCTAATAATAATACTTAAGTATGTTAGATTTAAAAAATTATATTCCCCTTCATACCCACTGAACACATGAATTTTACTCTTCTTCCAGAAATAATCACTTTTAACAATTTGTTTGCTGATGAATTTCTGAGCCATTTCCATGCTTTTCTGTTATGATCATTTTGATGAACAAGTTTTAAGCCTTGCATTAAGCCTGGCCAAGCTATCTTTGATGCTAAATTGAGATGTCATCCACTCTGCCTGGTGTCATATTAGAAACACCTTCCTGGGCCTCCCCTGGTGGCGCAGCAGTTGAGCCCTGGGCTGCAAAGCTGCCCACAGCCTCTGCAACACCGGTTCAATCCCCGGCTGCCGGCAAGGGTCCAACAGACCTCTCCTGTTGCGACAGACATCTCCTGCCATGCCCGCTGCTCCCCTCAGCAGTGTATTTCATCAGTCTGCCTATTGTGTTCCCCGCTCTGGCTCTGGTGAATTCTCTCACCCTCCCTCGCTTCTGACTGTACCCAGTGCTTGTATAAATAAATAAATAAATCTTTTAAAAAAAAATGATTCTTCAAAAAAAAAAAACCTTCCTGACTCCCAAGTATATAAAAGCACTCACCTATAGTTTCTCCCAATGTGTCTATGTTTCCCTTTTTCCACAGTTAAATCTCCAATTAGTCTAATTATCTAATAAATAAATTTAATTAATCTGTGTAGAGTTTGGCTTGAGGTAAAGAAGCTACTGTTTCTCCCCACCCCAAAAATAGATAGGTGTGATGAGTATTGGCAAAAAAAAAACACATCACAGAATAACGAAAAATGTACAAAGTTAAGAATTTACAAAGTTGGTTAGAGAAACAGCAACCCGGTGCAGCTGCACCACAGGAAACTGATAGGGGAAAAAATAGAAAAGATGGCTGGAAAGGTAGGTGAGTGCAGGTCAGGGAGGAGACTGGAAGGAGAGAGTCTGTGGGCAAGGAGGAGGTTTGCAGGGCCTGGGGGAGGAAATCCGTGAGCAGAGGCAGGCCAAGGGGCAGACTGAGCCAGCAGGCACTAGCACGTGTGGAGGCAGGGACCCAGTGAGGCTTCCTGGCTCAGGCGCAAGTAACTAGGGTCTCAATCAGGACAACATCACAGGGATAGAGAGATGGCGATGACCCTTAGATGCCTGGAAGAATCCACAAGAGTCTGTGGCCAACTGACCATGGCGGAGGAGGGGACATGCCGTGACTCTGTAACTCTCAAGCCTGAGCGATTGAGATGTGGGCCAAATTTACTCATCATCTAGTTGGAGCTGCTGAGTTCCTCACAATTTTTCTCCCTGTTTTCTCAAGTGCCATGTTGAAAAGGTTTTCCTTTCTTCATTTTATAGATGGGGAAACTGAGCTTGGTCAGGTCATGACTTTTCCAAGAGAGACAGGAGAGCTGCGTCCCTTGGGGCACAATCTAGATAGAAAAGTAGCTGCTATGGAGAGCTGTGTGGTGATTCCTCAACCTACTAAAGAAGGAGCTTCCATATGATCCAACAATTCCACTCCTAGGTATTTACCAAAGGACAGAGAAACATCAATTCCAAAGGGCACCTGCACCTCTATGTTTATAGCAGCACTATTTACAATAGCTAAGCTTTGGAAACAGCCCAAATGCCCAAAAATAGATGACAGGATCAAGAAGATGTGGTCCATATACACCATGGAATATTACTCAGCATTCAAAAAAGATAAACACATGCAATTTGCAGCAACATGGATGGCGCTGGAAGGGATCATGCTCAGCGAAATAAGCCAGAAAGAAAAAGAGAAATACCGGATGGTCTCATAGCAGGAATCTAGAAAACCTAAATAAGGGACCAGGAAAAAGAATAACTATAAGAAAGAAAAAATCAAAATCAACAAACAACTATGAACCAGAGACACACTACGTGGGGGGGTGGGGGGAGGGCGGGGAAACGAGGGATTGGGATCAAAATAACAGGGTTGCAATTTTATGGGGAATATAAAAATAAAGTTAAAAAAATTAAAAAAAAAATAAAAGTAGCTGCAAGCTCACCGGGGAGACGCAGAGCGAAGGGCCACAGGAGCAGCGCGCGCGAAGGGAGCGGGGCCGGGCCGGAGCGCGAGCGAACCAGGCGCTTGCAGCAGCGCGCGGGCAGGCCGGGGGCCACGTGAGCAACGGTTTTGCAAACTTGAGCTGCCGCCGGAGCGATGGACATGGTCGCGCCGTTTTACTCCACTCGCTGCTGCGGGTGCCGCTCTGCCCACTGGCGCACCGTCCTGTTCGCCGCCTGGTACCTGATCACCAATGCTGTGGTTCTGCTGATTCTGTTGAGCGCTCTGGCCAAGGACTACTTTTCAGATTCTGAACTAGGAGGTGACTTTGAGTTCATCAATTATGCCAAAATGTGGATTATTATTGCAGTTTCTCTTCTCATATTCCTGATAGGCGCAATGGCTATTTATGGAGCATACAAGCAACACGCTGTTTGGATCATCCCGTTCCACTGTTACCAGATCTTTGATTTTGCCCTGAACGCCTCTGTTATACTCACTACGGAGTCTTGTTCAGACGACATGCTGGAATTCATCCGACAGATGCCTCCTAATTTTCCCTATAGAGATGATCTTATGTCATTGGAGCCTACCGGTTGGTGCGTTGCTATTTTCCTGTTTGTCATCGTTACCTTGACAATTAAGTGTTACCTGATCGCCTCTGTTTGGAACTGCTACCTCTACATCAAGGGCAGGAACTCCTCCGATGTCCCGGTTTATGCCATCAACAACGATACTACGGAGTCTTGGGCCTCCGCTGGTGGTGCAGGCGGTTGAGCGCCGCGCTGTGAAGCTGTCCGCAGCCTCTGCAGCACCGGTTCAATCCTGGCCGGCTGGCAAGGGTCCCATATGGCGCAGCAGACCTCTCCTGTTGCACCCACTGCTCCCCTCAGCAGTGTATTTCGTCAGTCTGCCTGTTGTGTTACCCGCTCTGACTCTGGTGAATCCTCTCACCCTCCCGTGCATCTGACTGTACCCCGGTTCTTGTAAAAAGGGATAAATAAATCTTTAAAAAAAGAAAGAAAAGTAGCTGCAGTCTTTGAACACGGTGAACTCAACCTCCTCTGTGCACGGTGTGGGGAGGGGATGAGGGGGCATGTGCCTTTGTGTGTGTGTGTGCGCGCACGCGTGCGTGTGTGTATTCCACAGACGTGGACATGGAGGTAGCATTGGCACCAGCTGGATTTCTCTCTCAGGAGGTGGTAATGGGTACCAGTGCTCTGGATGGCATCCTCTTCCCAAATAAACAATCATATGACACAACGTCTGAAAGCCTAGAAGATTTCCTGTCTCCATTGGCCCGGTGCCCTGCCTGCTGCAAACCTGGAGCCATTAGCATTATCCCCAGCCCTCCACATCCCTCCACCTCGGTCTCTAGCTCGAGGACTCACAGAACACCATGAGCTCGCAGCCTGCTTAACTGCTTGGTGCCAGCTACATGAGGAGATTGGACATTTCTTTAGCCAAAGAAAAGCTGGTAACTGGGCCATCGACCTCCTCCAACAGGCCAGCTCAGCTGTGATGCTCACCTCCCGTCTCTGTCCCTCCCGGGGCCCTTGTTGGGTGGGATCCTGAATGAGGCCCACCATTACCCAAAAGGAAGTCATGTTCCCAAGAACCATGACCTTCTCAGCAAGCTGCAAATAAGCCAGCTACAGTGCAGGGAGGGAAAGCGCACCAGGCAGCCCCTAACCTGCAGAAATCGACTCACCCTTTGAGGTTTAGTTGATATGTCATCCACTCTGTGGCTTCTTGCCCAAATTCCACCAAAAGAGACCAGTCAATTACTTATCTGTCCTCCCATAGCAAATGTCTACACTAGGTCATCAAATATCATTTCATTCAACATTGTTTTGTTATAATGTTGATAAGCAAAAACAATCCTGGCCAAGCGTGAATAAAGTAATATTATTCAAGGAACTGCTTTCATTATATGCACTGTTTCACTTAAAGTTGAAGTTTCCAAACACTTTAAGCAAGGACTTACTGTACAGAGTTATTATGACCCCTGTTGCCTGGGGAGCAAATAGGACCTTCTTTTGTGCCAGAACTCACTGATGGGTAGTGATTATACGGTTGCTGCATCAAGAAGGCTACTGAGGCCCTCTCTGGACACAAAGCTGGGGAGAGTTGCCATCACCAATTGGGAAAAGCAGCTGAAACGGCTCCTGGCCAGGTACCATGCAGCTGCGTCCGCCAACCCAGACTGCCAGATGCGTTACCCTCTGTTACCTCAGCTGTCCCCAAACAGCCAGGATTGACTTGTGAACAGGGCTCCATTTGCTCAGCTCTGTGCCTCCAGTACCTTCCACAGTGCTTAATTCATCTTGCAGTGATGCTGCCAGATCCAGATCCAATCAAATGTTTTAGTCAACCCTATCTCCTATTTACACAATTCTTATGAAAGTGCCATTTAACATGGCACTTAATAAAGGCTCAAGAAATATTTTCTGGGGCCTCCCTGGTGGCACAAGGGGTTAAGACGCAACCTATGAAGCTACCTGCAGCCACTGCAGCACGAGTTTGCTCCCTGGCCAGGGAGCTACCCACATGGCGCAGCAGACCTTTCCTGGCTTACCCACTGCTCCCCTCAGCTGTGTATTTCAGTTAGTCTGCCTGTTCTGTACCCCACTCTGTCTCTGGTGAATCCTCTCACCCTCCACTCCTCTGGCCTATACCCCAGGTCTTGTATGCATAAATAAATAAATCTTTAAAAAATCTTTTAAAAAAATTTTAAAAAGAAATATTTTGCTGAATAAATGATTAAAAGACTCCATAATCCTTCCCATAGTTCAGGAGCAAGAACACCCATGCTGTCATAGGAAAGTGGGATTCGTGCAGGCTTATACTCCCTTCAGCCCACAGGGAGTCACCTCTCTTCTGTATCTTATTCTTGGTGTCATCTTGTCCAATACTGTATTTTTATAGCTTTGTTCCTGTATCTCCAACTTATCCCCATTAATAATAACTTGAGGTTAGGGATGGTGCCTTTACTTTAGTCCAGACTGTGCTTGACTTTTTGACACCCATAGACACTTATAATTCTTTTGCTTTCCCACTTACTCTTCTGTTTTACAAACATTGTTTATTTGGTTTCATACCTGGCAATAAATGTATGATCATGTTACATAAGTGTACTTAATTTCCTCTTATCAAGCAGAGACCATCAGCATTGAAATTATAAACACTAACAGAACCATAGCACTTAAGTTAGAATGCATCATACAGTTGAAGACACTTATTTCAAAGGTGAAGAACCTGCCTAACTGTTGACAGAGTTGCTCTCTCCTCTCTCCACTTCACCTGTTTCATTCACTCATTCAACAAGTTTTCTGGAATTAACATTGAATACAAATAACTTATTATAGATAATTTTTGGAAGAACTCAGAGCAAGCCACGCATTGGAATGTTACGATATCCAGTTGTATTTATGTGAGCTTTCAGACAAGCCCAACTAAAAATTATCAGGGATTGTCAAGGCCACCCACCAAGTTCACTGTACTTCAAATGCCTCCCAGCTCATATACAGCCCTTCAACAAGGACTTACCAACAACCTAATGTGTGTGCTCACCATTGATGCAAAAGAAAAAGAACCCACAGTCCAAGTCCTCCAAGTGCTTATCTTTGCAATTATCTAGACCTTTAAACATTTTCTGTAAACTGTCAAAGCTACAATCGCATCTACAAAGCCTCAGGCATACTGTGCTCACGTTCCTTGGCAGTGACTGAGTGAACCAGGCACTGACAGCCCGAGAGGCCACTCTTTCTGTTCCAACCAGAACTGCTTCAAAGACAGAAAGACAACAGTGGCTTCTCTAGGAAATACAAATGGCCAGGGAACCACAATATGTCCTTTTTATTACTCATGTTACTTGTCTGTATTAGTCAGTCCCTTGTGCTAAGAATTGACATTAAAAAAAGGAGAAGAAAGAACAACCCAAGTTTCTTTGCCTTTAAGTCCTTCCTTCCTTGTCAGTGAACTGAAGGTGGAGGTAGGTACGCCTATCAAGGAGTGAAACAGAGCGAGTTAGTTTTCACCAGCATTCCTCTGTTGCAGAGTCAAATGCTCATGATTGAAGTTTGTGGTTTTGGTGAGTCTGCATGTGAGTGGATGCTTTTACATTTTCACTTAAACTGGACTTGCTTAGTCACAACAGCCAAAACGTGGAAATAGCCCCAGAGCCCACTGTGGATTAAAATGACGCCTAACCGTGTCAAACTCATAAGGGCAGAAGGTAAAGTGGTGGTTGCCAGGGGCTGGGAGGAGGGTGGAGTGGGGGAGTTCATCTCTAATAGTCACAGAGTTTGAGTTTTGCCAGATGGAAGAAGTTCATGGTGGCTGTGATGAAGGTTGCACTTAATGTACTTAACGCCACTGAACTGTACTTTTAAAAATGGTTAGGATGACAAATTTTTGTTATATATATTTTTTACCACAATTAAAAATAATAAATGAATAAATAAATAACTAGCATGTTATAAAGATGAAAGACAAAACTCATGCCAATAATTCTAAGGTTTAATGTTTTGTTGCATTTAATGACTTTAAACAAATAAAAATGAGTCAAGAGAGATCTGGGCCTTCCCGGTGGCACAGCGGTTGAGTGCTGGGCTGCGAAGCTGCCCGCAGCCTCTGCAGCGCTGGTTCAATCCCCAGCCACCAGTGAGGGTCCCACATGGCGCGCAGACTTCTCCTGCTGTGCCCGTTGCTTCCCTCAGCAGTGTATTTCGTCAGTCTGCCTGTTCTGTTCCCCCGCTATGGCTCTGGTGAATTCTCTCACCCTCCCGCGCTTCTGACTGTACCTAGTGCTTGCATAAATAAATAAATCTTTAAAAAAAAAAAAAGAGAGAGAGATCAGAGAAAAAAAGAAAAAGGCTTTGTTGCATTTTAGTATCTTTTACTGCACTTCCCCTGCATTTCTGTTTTGAAGCAGGGTCTGCAAATATGTCACCAGCCTAGTTCTCATTCTCCCACCAACATCTCCGAGCCGGCAGCATCCGGTTCCTTCCTAGGCGTCCATATTAGCCACTTCTGGGACACAGGTTCTCTCTTTCCTCTCACTTCTCTTCCTTTTTTGCCCTCCTCCTTCCTGCCTTTCCTTTCCTTGGCCAAGAGCAAGGAAGTCACCATTTCGTCACATCCCTCTTCTCACCTTTCTTGAGACTCCTAGAAGAGGCAAATTCATGCAGACAGGAAGGAGAATGGTGGTTGCCAGGGGCTGGGAAACCAACAAGTGATTAGTGGGTAGAGTTTCCACCCATGATGGCTGTTCTGCATATATGCTATCCTATATAACATATGTGATGTTATGCAGTGGTCAAGGTAAGCTTGGGGAGGGCTAGGGGTTGGCACCTGCCCCCACCCCCAGCATCTCAGGATACCCTGGGTTGGCAGTGCCAAGAGGCAAGAGGGCTGGGAAGTACTCAGCACCCCACACCCAAGGCAGGCACAGAGCTTCACTTTGGATGCAGTCCCTTAGGGTGCCAGTCCGTCTGTGTGCTGGGGTGAGACCCATAAGAAGGGGATCTCCATCCCCACGGGGACCCTGCATTTTGCACTGGACTCACAAATTATAAAGCCAAGTATGATAGTGTCAGCAGGGGAAAGAAAGAGGTACCTTTGACAAATGACTTGGCATAGACCCAATAGGTCTTTTTTTTTTTTTTTAAAATAGAGGCATGTTTTATTTATTTGTTTGTTTGTTTGCTTGTTTGTTTGTTTGTTCTGTTTATACATGCACTGGGTACAGTCAGAAGCGCGGGAGGGTGAGAGAATTCACCAGAGCCAGAGCGGGGAGCAGAGCAGGCAGAAGGACCGAAGTACACTGCTGAGGGGAGCAGCGGGCGGCAGGAGAGGTCTGCGCGCCATGCGGGACCCTCCTCCGATGGCCGGGGAGCAGCCGGGGATCGAACCGGCGCCGCAGAGACGCGGGCAGCTTCGCAACCCAGCGCTTAACCGCTGCACCACCGGGGAGGCCCCCAATAGGTCTTAATGACTGATTACATAGAGATTGGGAGGAAGGATTTTA